ATTCAGTAAATCCTCAGCTGTAATTAATGCAATATGTCAACAATGGAACAACTCAAGAGGGCAATTATTGCGCAAGTGAGAGTCTTCGAGACACTTAACCGTCTGCAAATCGCCTTTGAACTCCACAAGAACCCTTAAATCAAGTCAATATAAGATATGAAGCTGAAAGTTTAGGAAAAAGAAAAGTGGGTCAAACAAACCCGCCATCAGCTAGGAGTCAGCCCACTGGTGATCGTGGAACTTATTTTCCAACAAAATATAAAAAAAAAGCAAATATAAAAAAAAGCAAAACTGAAGATATAAGGTGCTAAAATTTTATACCAAAAATATCAAGATCGCCGGATTATCAGTGTTTAGTCCTACGGTGTTCACTGGGATACTTTCATAAGCCGAATGCCGTAATACTAGGACGTCGTGCACCAATGGGTGGTACCCACAAGGAAGTAAACGACCAGTCTGATAAAACCCAGAAAGGTGGCTTGCGCAGATCGAATAAGGGAGGTGTGTGCTAACTGGAAAGAATACACAAACCTGAAACAAAAGCTGAAACATTAGTACCGCATAATATTCTGCAAAACGGTTTCGAATAAATTTTTTTTTGAAAGTGTCGGAAGATGAAATGAAATAAATGTTGGAAGATGGAATAAAATGAGCAAGATATTGCATCGGAGACAAGCAAATAAGATTAATGTGCTTCCATTTGTCAGCCATTTTCGGCGGTAAGTATTTCGCAAAAATCCATCAAGCATTCGGCTCATTCCTTTACGAGGACTAAGAGGAAATAAAAGGTTCTTTTTCGAGGAAGCAAAAAGAGAGGAGATTAGGACGAGAAATTTTAGAGGGTGGGGAAAGGCCTCGAAAGCAGTGAGCTGGCTTAGGAAAAGTAGTGAAACTTTAAAATTGAGTCGAACTAAGGATTACAGCTGATCAATGTACTAAAGCTCACCAAAGTATCAAAATAGCATTCAAGAAATTATTATTTGATATTAACAAAACCTTTTATACTGCACAGAAGCGAATCTATATTTAAGAACATCATGATCACCCAGGGCATCAGTGTAGGTATTCCGTGTTAATAATGTTATATTGTAACTAAATAGTTTTTGAATAATTGCAGTTTGTTGCTCGTGATGAAGCCGGTGACGGCGACGGCGATGTCGAGTATCGACTCATCAACACCGAACGTAAGCATATCCCAGATTCATCCAGGATTACTATCAGAAAGCCAGTCTCTTGTGGCTTAAATTTTTGATATCCCTTAGATATTAAATTTGCAGCAAGTGAAACATTTACGGTTGATCCGGTCACTGGTATTGTTCAGACAGCTGTGAGGCATTATAAACCCGGCGAAACCTATCGAGTTTTTGTGCAAGCTCGAGATCGGACACCAACAGACTATCAAGTTTCACAGGTATTAGTTTTATAATGTAGGTAAATACCAGCTCGAATTAATTTAGTCCTCGAATTTAGCATTTTATCACTATTTAGTCAAAAGTCACTCGGTATTTGAATTAGCGTTATTAAAAGTCGCTGATAATGTCTCAGTTTTATTTTGTTATTGCATTTTATTTTAAACTGATTTGTGTGACTGTTTCGATTCAAGATATTACATATTCGATTTTATTCTTATGGTAGAGGACGGACCACCTTTTCCGATATCAAAATTCAAAATCTCCCTGCGGTAAAAATGCTCGGAAAACTGGGGTATCCATACGCACCAACAAAATCTCAGGCAAGACTGATAACGCTTGGATTTTGCAAAAATGAGTGAATTAATATTCGCATAATTTAATAATTGGTTAATATCTAAATTGAATGAATCAGTATTGCTGACTGGCATCAGCTTAATTAATGTCTGAAAAATAAATTAAAGTCCTTTAATTTTATCTGTTTAATTAACATTTTTAGTTAATATCGAATTAAAAGCCGTAAAATCCACACTTTTTCTCACTCCAAGATCATTTTTCTGTGTATATCTTTTTCGATAATTTTAGGATAGCAAAGTGGCTGTGCTGGAGGTTTACGCTGGTGATCGAGCGCCGCAATTTGTCGAACAACAGTATAGAGTATACGTCCCGGAAGATACCCAAGTTGGTTCCAGGTACCACTAATTTTTCTTTTAAAATCATTTATCCTATTTATATTATCTATGCTAATCTCTCGATGTCGCTTAGATTCAGTCGTGCACTGCCCAACCATTGACCGTTTGTGTGGCCGGAGCATTTTTTTCTATTAAAGGACGTGAAAAACTCTAATAAAAGCTTTTCGGTTGGGGAACTCCTAGAAATAAAAAATTCATGGATATTTCCTAAGACGAAGCTTAACTAATGAAAAATACTATTAATTTTATCAGCAAATAGCAATCACTTAAGTCATTAACTGCGCTAACGGTTCAAAACAAGGCCTGAACATATGCTTATGTATGAAACCAGAAGAAATGTTAAAAAAAAAGAAACTCCTTTATAAAAAGAGGAGGCACTTGGAAAGCACCCCATGTAGTAGCAAATGCCAAAAGCAACCACTCGCTGGCAAGGCTGTCGATGGTCCTCTCTTTTAGGGGTTATTTAGAAGAAAGCTAGCAGCAAATTTGACTTCCTGACATATACCAGTACCATCGAAACAAATAAACGAATCGTAGAGGAACTATTTGTACTACTGGCGGAGCCGAGCTTTCGACCTTCTACGTGACAGCAGTGCTACTTATGGCTAAATTTTAGTAAAACCTCGAGGACCACTATGCTAATTCGATTAATCCCTACCATTGTTTCCAGCATTGTGGATGTGCGTGCCAAACGTTTCAAGCCGATTGACAAGCGCCGTACAAAAGGTGAACTGGTCTATCAGCTGTTCCTGGACGCGAGTTTGCCGGAACGTGAGCCGTCACCCTACTTTGCAATTGACGCTGCAATGGGATTGGTACGCTTGAAGAAAGCATTGGACTATGACGACGATACCCAGCCGAAACATCATCAGCTGAAAGGTTTGTCCAAATTACACTTCCGGAATATCAGTGTCAACCTGAAAATGCCTTATTTGTCCAGCAATTTACTTATTTGCTCAGCAAGTAAATCAAAAATGTTTCGTCGTACAGTCAGTAGGGCGAAACGGGATACTTTTGATCCCAAAGACCACTGCTTCACAGCTGTGATGAAGCCTCGATAATGGACTCAGGGTTGTTGGTCAGTGACTAGAAATCAGGATAAGAATATGTTTAACTTTACATGAATAGTATTCCCGAAAATTTCAGCTTCCTAGCTTTTACGGCTGTTAGGTCAATTGATGTGAACAGTGACACACACACACACACACACACACACACACCCACACACACACACCTACACACAAACCCACACACACACACACACACACACACACACACACACACACACACACATACATACATACACACGTACACACATACACACACATACAACACAGACACACACAACACAGACACACACACACACACACACATACACGCCACAAGCACTCGCACTCACGTACGTGTCTTTGCCCATATTGCAGCCATATGCTCTGCATAACATTTTTTGTACGTTTCTTCATTACTGATGAAATGCAAAAAAGCAAACTGACGAGAGAACATCGGTGTGTGCATTCGAGTTTTCTCACTCACTTTCAACTTAACAGCAATAAAGCTCAGAAGCTGAAATTTCAATCTGTGTTACTCAAAAAATGCACAAAAGAATCTCTCCTTTACTCCATCAAATAATAAAGATCTCTAGAAACAAGCTTTTTATGCAAATATTTTTAATTTTTTTTCAATTGAATTTATGTAAATTTCTCAGCATTGTACGAAGAGAAACAATATGTTGTGGGTTGCATACAACCACATTTATTACATGTTATTTACGC